AGGGTTAGGGTTCAGCTTGTTCAGCTCCTTCCTTGCTGCTGGGATGGAGCCTGCATCCCCATGGTTGCTGGGCTCCGCACCTGGTGCTGCCTACCTGCCATCGGAGCAGGTGAAAAACGTGCCTTCTCTCCCAAACACACCTCTACTCCCGGCAAAACCAGCTTGTTTCCACAAGTCAGCACAGCTCTAAAACACTCTTTTCTGTAGAATGATTTTCTCAGGTAAACCTATTTTAAGCATCATTCTTTTTTTTCTTCTTTTTTTAAAAAAATATATTTTATTGATTTTTTACAGAGAGGAAGAGAGAGGGATAGTTAGAAACATCGATGAGAGAGAATCATCGATCAGCTGCCTCTTGCACAACCCCTACTGGGGATGTGTCTGCAACCAAGGCACATGCCCTTGACCGGAATCGAACCTGGGACCTTTCAGTCTGCAGGCCGACGCTCTATCTACCAGTTTCAGCTTTAAGCATCATTCTTAACTAGAGGCTCGATACTCAAAATTCGTGCAAGACACCTGGGACCCAGGCTTCCCTCGTAGCCCTGACTTCATCCGGTCTAATTAGCATATTACGCTTTTATCTTATAGAAGATTGAACAGTGATGTTCTCCCTCAGTTTCAGATGACACGGTTAGACCACAGCGCCTGCAGCAGAGCTCTGTATTCTTGGTCTGCCTCCTCCCACGCACCTCGGGACACTCTCTAGGATGCTACCTCAGGTCATGACCCCAGAGGTCAGGAGCAGACATGAAGGAAGGGTCAGGGCCCATCCAGCTGCTGGGAGCAGCATCCGGAGCGGATGACCAGGCGGCATTTCTGGGAACATCGAGCTCCAAAGGGACTCATCGTCCAGATGGTAGTCGGCGTCCTGAACGAGACGGTGGCCAGTGGGGCCTTTGACCAGCCCAGCACTGAGCGAGATGGGTCCCGGCGATCTGTCACCCGCTGTAATTGTCTGTCTGTCTCCCCTCGGCCTCTCTGTCAGAGTGAGGGCAGCCAGAGGCCCAGCCAGTGCTTCGGTGGAGAGTCTCTCCTTTGTTGCTCCTTCTTATGTATCAGCACACCATGTAACTGGCCTTCCCTCTTCCCCTCAGAGCGCTGAGACAATGACTCTCATTTCTTTTCCCAAATGGCCAATAAATCTAACTGGCAGCGGAAGCCAGGAATAATGTACACTGTTTATTGGTATCTCAACGCGTTCCATGTCCCAGTTCTTTCTGCTGTGTGCTTGGAGGACGGGTGTTTTCCCACTTATAGGTGGCTGGTGCGGTTAGACTTTATGGGATGGAAAGCACACTCAAGTCCAGAGGAATTATTGCAAAACAGGAGCTATTTTCCTCTGCAACAGCCTCGGAACACGCTAGAAGGATTTTGAAGAGAGGGATACCCATGAAGTGACATTAAAGTCAATATGAAAGATGCAAACAAGCAGCAGTTGGTGGGTAAAGAGGTGTTTGCAGAAATTTATGGAAACCTATCACTGAGTTCTTAGTGTACGTAACACTTCTATTTTCTGTGTGTATGTGCACTGTAACATTTTATTACATATTTTAAATAAAAACGTGGTCATTTAAATAAAAAATTCTGAGTGCTATAGGTAATTATTTCTTTCTATCAGATAATAACCGAATTCTAAATTTTAATCAATATTAGTCATTTTTTTTTGCCATCTTTCCCTCAACTATGGAAATATTATTTGGTAAAATAATGTGACTCTGTTTAGTTTTACCTTCTCCTACTCTTCATCTCTGTGCATGGCCATGATGCCATATGAAACATGTCTTTCTCAGGGGACCGTTTGCAATTAGCTTGCGATGCTGACTGAGTACTTACCATGTGCTAGGCACTTCCCTAAGGACTGAAGGAACTTAAAAGCATGGGGATTGCCAAAATAATGAGCCTCTTTTCCTAACCTTATGATTTACTACTTTGCCTAGGCACTAGACACATTAAAAATACAAGTATATGCTGAAACCGGTTTGGCTCAGTGGATAGAGCGTTGGCCTGTGGACTGAAAGGTCCCAGGTTCAATTCCGGTCAAGGGCATGTACCTTAGTTGCGGGCACATCTCCAGTGGGAGGTGTGTAGGAGGCAGCTGGTCGATGTTCTTCTCTCATCAATGTTTCTGGCTCTATTCCTCTACCTTCCTGTCTGTAAAAAATCAAGCAAATATATATTACAAAAATACAAGTATTTTAGGGAGAGATTGGAGAAAGTTGAGTCCACCAGACAGAGGGAGCAGAGCTGGTAGGGTGTCCGGGCTGGTGCCTGGAGGTGAGGTCAGAGCCGGTGTGGTTGCTGCAGACGCCCCTCCAGTGCCGACTTCTGGAGCCTTGGGGAAGGACTGAGCAGAGGAGGCTGGGATATCAGATCAGCCTGTGACTGAGGGAGAACAGGCACTCAGTGACTCAATGGCTGACTCCCTGTCCACACTGCTGAACGAGCCTTTCCCGCCTGAACTTAAAACAGGCCGTTCCCGCCCGGCCGGCTGGCTCAGTGGTTGGGTATCGATCTACCAGTTGGCTCGATTCCTGGCCCGGGCACATGCTCAGGCTGCACACTCGATCCCAGGAGGGGGCGTGCAGGAGGCAGCTGATTCATGTTGTTTCTCTCTCATCAAAGATACGTCTCTTTATCCCTGGCTAGACTGGCAGGCAAGCCCCTTCCCTCGCACCCTGACATTACCGCCCAGGAGCCCAGCTCCCCTTTGTGAGACCCTCTCCTGGCAGTGCTGGGGAGCGTGAGGCGGTTGCTCCCCGGGGAAGCTGCCAGGGAACCCGCGTGCCAGGGGAGGCCTCCCCTCGCTCGCTCCTGTGTCATAGGGACAGGCCATTTCCCCCGCCGCCTCCGGCCCTGCCCTTCCCTCCAGGAGCTTATCTTGTTCTTGTGCTTTGCAATGTTCTCCCAGAAAAAGGCCAGCTCGGTCCTGTGACAATGATCTCGTGCTCACACCCTGTTCACAACAGCGGGACAGACGGAGATGTCCCCGTCACACCCAGTGAGCTCAGCGCCCTGACATCAGCGGGTTTACTCCAGTTCACCCCGCTCCGAGGGGCGTGCACGGCGGGGCCGCCCGAGCAGTGAGGGCCGTTTGGCAGAGCACAGAGCCCCGGGGTCACGGACCTCCGCCGGCGAGCAGTCTGTCCTGACCCGAGAGTCTGGAGGGGCCCCGGGAGGGTGGGCATTTTCTCCCGATGAACCGGGAAGGAGGCTGGAGATCCAGCAAAGGTTTCCAGCGGACACGCCCCTCTCGGCCACGATCGCAGCCACTGATGGTGGTTTTGAGCCCACTCCACTCCAGGCGCTGGGGTGGTGGTAAGGATCAAAAATAAAAGTCAGCTGCTTGCTCCTGTGCAGCTGGCATCACTGCCGAGAGAGGCAAGCGATGAAAAAGAAGAGCTGGCGGAAACCGGTGTGGCTCAGTGGTAGAGCATTGGTCTGCGGACTGAAAGGTCCCGGGTTCGATTCAGGTCAAGGGCATGTACATTCCCAGTAGGGGGTGTGCAAGAGGCAGCTGGTCGATGTTTCTCTCTCATCGACGTTTCTAGCTCTCTCTCCCTCTCTCCTCCTCTCTGTAAAAAATCAATAAAATATATTTTAAAAGAAGAAGAAGAAGAAGAGCTAGACAGATGGGCAGGGCCGTGCGGAGGGTGGTCCATGCTGGGAAGAAGGGACTTGGTCGGAGCTGCTCTCCGTCAGCGATGACATGACACAGAGGTGATCCCGTCCCAGCTGCCACCTCCACTCCCAGAGGAGCGCTCACACGCAGGGCGCTGATGTCTGTGAAAGGGGAACGCCTGTGAGTGTTGTTGTTGTTTTGACGCGCTTGTTTACTTGCTTCACGCCCCAGAGAAAAGAGGACGTGGACAAGGAGATGTTCTGCTTTCCCAGTTGCCATGGACGACGGAGGCGCCCCCGGGGACAAGCCTCGCTCTGTCCCAGAGAGAAATACGGACCCGAGTCTTACGACGCAGCACCCCCAGCCCGACGGGAGGCCTCGGGTCGTGGCCCAACAACATCTGAACCAGAGCGCCTCTCCCAGCCCGGCCAAGCTTATGTTTCTGATTACACTGCGTTCTATCAGCCCCGTCCAGCCGGCCCCACAGCCAACTGCAGCCTCCTCCCCTCCCGCCCGCCCCTTTCACACGGCCAGTCACCAGTTCCCATCCACGTCCCAAAGAGCCGTCTGCCCACGGCGTGTGTTTCTGCTTCCGCAACCCGTATCCAGGCCTTCCTCATTTCTGTCTGGAATTATCGCCACATCCTTCCAGCTACCATCCTCTTCTCTCCCAGGTCCTTCAGCAAGCCCAGAGCCATCTTCTTAAGTAAAAAGAATGCATTTATATTGATTTCAGAGAAGAAGGGAGAGGGAGGGAGAGATGGAAATATCAATGATGAGAGAGAATCATGGATCGGCTGCCTCTTGCACATCCCCTACTGGGGATGGAGCCCACAACCCCGGCTTATGCCCTGACCGGGAATCAAACTTGACCTCTTGGTTCCTAGGTTGACGCTCAACCACAGAGCCACGCAGTCAGGTGACAAAGCTCTTCTCTCTTCTGGACTTACCGTCCCGGAAAGCGGCTCCTGGTCTCCGGAGGTGATCCTGAACCGGGCTTTGTCACTCAGCTCCCTTGGGTTTGAGTGTGTTTACCGTTCCACACTTTTGCTCTCTTATTTCCCACATCAGCGTTCCAGGACCTGGGAAACCCTCCCCTCAAGCCCCACTTGCACTGTCACTAGTAAAGGAATAAAAAGGGCTTCTGACACCTTTTGACTCTTCCCATTGGGAAAGGTCTCTACAGGCATGGCTTTTAAGTGCTCTGTTTTCTTCTTCTTCTTCTTCTTCTTCTTCTTCTTCTTCTTCTTCTTCTTCTTCTTCTTCTTCTTCTTCTCCTCCTCCTCCTCCTCCTCCTCCTCCTCCTCCTCCTCCTCCTCCTCCTCCTCCTCCTTCTTCTTCTTCTTCTAAATATTTATTTCAGAGAGGAAGGGAGAGAGAGAAACATCAATGATGAGAGAGGATCATGGATCAGCTGCTTCCTGCAAGCCCCACACTGGGGATGGAGCCCACAACCCGGGCCTGTGCCCTGACAGGGAATCGAACTGGGACCTCCTGGTTCATAGGTCCGAAGCTCAGCCCTGAGCCGTGCAGGCCGCGTCTCCTCTCCTTTCTGCCATGGAGTGAGAGGGCCCATTCTTATCTTCTTAAACCTGAGGCTCAGTGTCGCCGAGCCCATTGCTTCACATCCAGCGGTGGGCACAAGCAGGCTTACAGTTGCGATACCAATACATAACACAGCAGTTACTAAGCAAGAATACAAGAGTAAGTCTGTGTTTTGTGTACCCACCGCTGTCCGCCTACTTTTGCCCAGCCCCGTATACCAGGCCCCTGGCATAGAGCAGGTGCTCCTTACCTAGTGACTCACCAGACACCGAGTGAGGACGGACAAGGCCATCGGCTCCCGTTGTCCCACGCACCTCGGACAAAGAACGGCGGTCCCGGGGCGCCCTCTTATTGAGTAAACTGCCCCATATTTTCAGAAAGTGGGGGTTCCTCTCCAGTGGCTGGGAGCGTCTGTACATGAAAACTCATCTCGGGGCGCTTGCAAAGCTTCCCCCAAATCCCCAGGTGGCCCTCGAGACGATGACTCCGCAGGTGTGATGTGCAGGCCGAGAACTGTCCATGTGGACAAGTGTCACAGAGGGTTCCCCCGACGGAGCGTGGCTCCGCCTTTAGCTCCGGGGAGACTCTGTTCCTGTCTCGTTTCTGGGTTTGTCTGTGCCCAGGCCTGTCTTCCCGGTAGATCATAAACTCACCGGGGTTTGTATCTCATCGTTTCAGACCCATGACCCAGAGCCGAGACCTACTGGCTGCTCAGGTCACGTTCATGGGACACATGTTTGTCGGCAAAGACGTAGGAGGCTGGGCCCCCTCTTTTCTTTATAAAGCTGGCCTTTTAGGACTTTCAGAAAGAAGGCCCGAGTGCCCCTTGTTCCATTTAACGAGCTCACTGTTAGCGCGTGGGCAGCCCAGAGTTCATGTTTTCCAAATCGGGTAGCTCTTAGCATGTTTGCTTTTTTAAATACTAAGCAGCGTTCCCCTCCACATAGTTCCTAACCCTGCACTCCAGGCCACAAAGCACTGCTTGTAACAAACACGCCATGCGGAGCCACAGGGTGCATGTGCTTGGCTTTTATCCCGAGGTTTGGCCACATCCAGGTCCTCCGCGGCCCCGGCTTTCACCGCAGCATGCCCTCTGCCCACCAGGCTGCTCGCCGGGCGAGAGCGAGAGGAAGACCTTCCAGAACAGGCACACACGGCTCCCCTCGGAGGGAAGGAGGACAGAGAGGTCGCGCCTGCTCACAGCGGTGCTGGGTTCGAGGCCTCAGCTGGGTTCCGATGGGGAACCTCCGGCCGGAGGACCAGCTGCTGCCTGAAGAGCCACGATGTCTTTGGGGGTCGCACTGGGCTCTCTCCGACGTGGGCACCTGAGCCGTGTGGCTCTGCAAACAGCATGGGACACGCGGAGGCACCGGTTTCTTCTCATTGAAAATTCCGACTGTGAACTTAGGTTTTAAAATGTCCTTACAGCTATCGAAGTGTTGGCTAGAAACACCTCCGGAAACCTCACTGCTCTATGCTAAAGGGTATTTCTCGTGGCGGTATGTTCCGTGTATTCGTATAGTCCGATGACAAAACCGATGCAATTTTGCAAATATTTTGGAGTCTCAAGTTGGGGCAGATGCATATTCTTTTCAAATCTGACTTATCCAATGGCAAGTATTTATTGTGATAATGGCCTCATGTATGTAAAATGTGTGCCCTGAGGAGAAGCACACACACAAACACGCAGTCTTTACTTCCTTAAAATAACTCCTCATGTCAATCCTTTTGTTAAAGCTTTCCTGTGGCATGTTTATTGATGAACATTTCTGTGGCACGGTTATCAGCGCGAGCATCACTCAGATGGCTAAACAGTAGTTGACTACCTTCCTTCCGGAAACATCCACGGTCTCCACGTGAAATGGAACTGTGATTTTGATCTAATGTTCCAGTACACAGCGCTGCCAAATAACATCTAGAGTAAACACTCTTTCAGTGTCTTTGAGTCATGGCCATTGTTGTTTTTGTCAGTGGCGATACTAGATGTTGTCATTGAATTCATGGTGATTCCCCTAAGAATTATTTTATAAAGATAAGCATTGTATTTTACGAAGCCACCCAGGAAAAATTGTCGAAGTGATTGCACTTGGTCCATTTTTGTCAATTCTTTTGATAATTTCCTCTGGAACTGAAGTTAAAAACAACATCTGTTGAATTGGCTGAAAACTGTATTATTATTTTGATTTTTAAAAATTCATAGTAATGACTAAATAAAACATTTCCTAAAGATTCTGGGAAAATGTGTCAGTATAATCATTATTAACTTTAGTTAGAATAAGGATTTTTTTTTAAGCTTAATAGATGAGTTCCCTATATCTTTAAAGCATCCCTTTTAGTTATTCACATAGATTTATTTGGTGGCCATAAGAAAATAATTTAAAAAAACACCAGTCATGTAAACGGATTTTATAAGGTCTTTGCAAGAAAGGAGATTTGGCAGAGAGGAGATTTGGTAAAGAATTGTAGACATGAGGCCATTTACTGAGGAATAAAGAACACGTGATGCATATTCCTGACGAGTCACTCTGGTGAGCGATTCCTGAGAAATAATGGTGTTATTGCCACCGATTCCGCTGCAAACGAGGCTTTTGTGGAAGTGCCCGCTAAGTCATAGTATTAACTACCACACATACAGCCTCTATAACAGAAACATCGCATCCTTCTTTAACCAGTGGTGTTTCTAACAACATATCCAGCTCGTGAAAGGTACTGAATAACATTTACCAATTCAGTGGGGAAAAAATTAGAATGGATTAAAAAAAAGGTAGACTGCTAAGATATCAAGACATTGATTGACTTCGAGCATTTTTTCAAAATTACGTTGTCTGTATTAAGTGCTGTTTTCTACAATTTGTAAAATCCCATCGGCTCTTCTCTTCTGTCATCGTATATGCCTTTAAGTGGATAGCATACATGGCGGCCAGTGACCACAGCTTTCATGAGGAAAACAGAGGACTAGAGCTTCTGTCCCGCTTTGCCACTACCCAGCTGTTAATTATTTATAAACAAAGTGGTACTCTCTCTTTCCGTCTCAGTTTCAACAGCATGAACCATTGTATGGGCTACATCATTTATATGCCCACTTACCTCGTAAACATTTTTCAGTCAACAGACATCTGCATTGCATGCTTCTGTGGGCCTGGTGTCTGTGTTCTGTGTGACAGGTCCTCGGATCATGGGAATACAGTAAACCCATGCACAGACGAGCATACGAGTTTAGACAGCGTAAGGGGAGCAGCCACCACAGAAGGAGCTGGCCGGTGACGGGAGGGGTGTGATTCTCTGACAGTTGTTGGAGGCTGGGGAGAAGGACCAGGCGTGTGAGGCCCGGGGAAAGGTTTCCCTGAGGCGGCTGGGAAGGCAGTTTGGGTTCCATGAGGTCAGCTTTGGTGAGAGAGCTGGTTTTATTCTAAATGCTACGGAAAGCCACGGTAAAGTTCCAATAAGAGGTGGGATGTGGTTTAAGTTATGTAGCAGAAAATAATATTGCATCTGTGCAGAGAAGACTATTTTATAATGTGTGTTGTGGCCAAATAGCATGTACATAGTTACGTATATAAATGTATGAAAGTGAATATGCATATGCATATCTATCTATGATGAGAAATCAATGGAATGGATGAGAAATCCAATGCATTGATGAAGAAATCAAATTTGATTTGATCAATCAAAATGGTTCTGTAAAACTTTTCCTCTAATAATTTAAAAAATCCGTCAGGCCTGGCCAATGTGGCTCAGTGGTTGAGTGTCGAACCATGAACCAGGAGGTCACGGTTCAATTCCAGGTCAGGGCACAGGCCCAGGTTGCCAGCTTGATCCCCAATGGAGGGCGTGCAGGAGGCAGCAATTAATGATTCTCCCCCTCATCATTGATGTTTCTCTCTCTGTCCCTCTCTGAAGTCAATACAAATATATTTAAAAAATCTGTCAGTAAAAATCTAGTTGAATAGAAGGGCATTCAGTGAAAACCCAGGTGTTGTTTGTATAGGAAGAAGGTAAGAGGTACTAACATATGATTAGAGGCTGGGTATTTGTCCACCTGGCATTGGAGGGAAGCAGTAGATCTTTAGTCATGATGAAGAGAACGAAGATGGCCATTTTACCAACAGCAAACATGTAAGATGCTATTTTTTATTTGAATTAACCACGAGGTTAAAGTTTTTAAACGAAGGGGACTAAGTCCAAACCACTAGGATAAGCCTGTTTTAAATACAAAAGTAATGAAGTCGAGCTATCAGATGTCTAAGGAAGTTTACTCAGTGGAAAAGATGTCTCGATGGAACTTTTCTGATAAAATTCTCTCTCTATATAAAAGGCTAAGCAATGGTAGAACTGGTAGTTATGACATGCACTGGCCACCAGGGGGCAGACGCTCAATGCAGGAGCTGCCGAGCTGTGGTGACTTGGCAGCTGTGATTCTCGGTGACCCACCTGGAATCAGAGAGAAGGGAGCCCAATTTGGGGTGCTTCACCCGAGAACCGCCTTCGCACACCTGGGACCCTCGGGGAATGTCGGAGAGCCAGCCAGAGGGGCTGCACACTCCGCAGAGGCCCTTCGAGCTGCCCAGCTGCAGCCAGCCGGGGAGGGGCCACGGGAGACTGGCTCCAGGGTGTGTCTGGCCCGCCTCGCCCAGTCCCGCCCCACCGGCCACCTTCTAATTAATTAATTAATTATCTCCAGGCCCCGGTTGGAATATAAGAATTTCATGTTCACATCTGAGTGAGTCGCACAGGTTGGATGTTGGTTACACATCCCCTAAGTCACATCAGTTCTTCCGGGAGAAAGTGATGCGTAATAAGTCAAGTCTAGCTTCCGGTCTCTGAGGGTGTCTTTGCTGCCTGCTCTGACTGACTGTGTGTGTCACTAGTTGCTCATGTAGGTTTGCCTCATGGAGAGCTTGTTCCGTTGGCCCTAGTGAGTGTGTGGCGAGCGGTGTGTGTTCAAACCACCGACTCACAGGGTGACGCCATCCTCGTTATCA